TTTCAATAAAAGACAATTTTATTCAAACTAAATAAAAAATTACAAAAAATGAGCGAAATCTAAATAAACTAAAAAAGAAGGCCGGTCAGCAAGAAAAAACACGGGCCCAAACTCTGGCCAATAATTGCAAGACAACTCAAAGCATACATCCTGCCTTGCGCCAGCCATTCTACCGCCATGCACAACTTCTTCGCAAGCTTCAACGCATTTGGGAGGTTATCCTGCAATTAGACTTGCAGATGTGTTTCAAAAGAGTAATGCCAGTGCAAGTCATTGAGATAACCCAACGTCTCATGACATTTGCACCCATGGAATGTTAAACCAAAATGACATACTAGGGATTGAAAGATGAAGCAACTCAGAAGGTGAGTGTAAGCCCAGGTCACAACTGACAAGATTAGCTTACTAGAATGAAAACATCTGGATGAATTTGTTATTAGAGTTGTTAATATCTTTATATATTTGTTAACCACGTTATTGAGGTATCAAAAATTTTACTTTTTGAATTCCCAAAAAACCTGTTATTAACTGTCATATCGAACTTGTTAATTACATTATTGAAGTTATAAAATGCTACTTTTTGAATTTTCTGAAAAAACTTGTTGTTAATTACTGCACCGAACTTGTTGATAACGTTAAAAAACTTGTTAATCAGATTACTGAAATTATAAAAATTCTCAAAAAAATAGTTGCCAGCCGCTGGAACTTTGGTGACCCCGTTAGCCGATTGCCAGAACTCCAATGACTATGGCCTACTTCAACTCTGGCAACTACCACTGCCTGACCAGCCAGTGAGGGTGTTTTGTATTTTTTTTTAAAAAAATAAATGGAAATATAATTATTTTAGCAAATTTGCAAATCACAATTTGGTCACTTATGTTTAAACTAAAATTTTGCTTATTTAAGTGACCATTTGAAAATTTTGAAATTCATCAATTATTTTTCTGTGATTTTCCCTTGTGTAACTATCTGGAAGGATAAGTAAAAAATTTTATTAATTTCTTTTGTTCTTTTATTTTACATATTATTTTTATTGAAGTTTTATATTATATGCTAATTGTAATTTATTTTATAGTCTGTTGTCTCAAGCTGTAACAGCATCAGTTTTTCCTGCAATTACCATTACCATTTATACTTAGTCAAATCATCAACTTAAGTCAATCTTAGTTATTTTGATTATTTTACTCTGTCAAATTTGATGCTCAATTATTTGTTTTATATATTAATATTAATACCAATTTATATATTACGATGATCTGCATTTTGTTTCCCACATGCAATGGTCAATGGATCTCCATAACTAAATGTAGTTTTCAACATTTAGCTGGAGTTGTATGTACTACCAATTTGCATTTACCGGGATTAACATTTTAAATTTTTTATATTGAAGTCATCAGTTTGAAATTTTCAAACTAGTACTATCTTTTTTAAACAATAGATGCCAGCCAGCATAGAACCAGCAGATTATTTTTCAACGGCTTATAAATTTTGTTTCATAGATCTCAATGCACTTCACAGAAAAGTTTGACTTCTTCTATAATGTTTGGAAATTAAGAGCTGGGCAATATTAATAGAACAAACCTAATTTGGGAGAAGTTTGTGTATAGTCACTCAAAAAATAATGGTCACAGCAATTAATGACAGCTGGGTTGGTAATTTAAATGTAAGAGATTCAACGATGCTTAATTAAGCAAAGTTGATAATTTAAATGTTGTGAATGAAAAAATTAGTGTTTTTTTTAATGACCTTTTAAGCCACCTGGTATCTTAGGCTTTTTTTTCAAAATCCTAACTAATTCGGTTGTAGCTGGTCAACAAAAAGTTGTATTGGTCATTTCACTAGTTAAGATATTGATTTAAGTGTTAATGATCCAAGGAAATTTTGAGTAGTCATTATAAAAATAATACTACCTCTGCTCCTTAATATAAGAACTAATTGACTAATTTGAATAAATTTAGAAAGTTTTTTAAGTTAGCTCTTTGTAAGAAATAGATGTTATCTTTTCCAGAATATTCTTACTAATCATATGTATTGGTTAGAACTACTACTTGATTGAATATTTAACTTGTGCAACTACTATCAAAATTATTTTTAAAAAAATAGATAAATATGATATAAAGTAGATTAGAGTTTTATACTTAGAATCAAATTAAATATCAAACTAACTCTTATTAAATATCAGAAGTAATATTATCTAATTAAAATATATAAAAATATTCACGTAAAGTAATATTTAAATTAAAAAAGACGTTAACCGTCAACCCAATGAAATATTAATTTATAAATCAAACAAAATTTGAATGTCTTATGGGTAAACTATTGATTCAAATAATAGTTTTAGTTAGATTACTCATAAAATACATATTCAATAACTAAAGTAACAATGAGCTGTTAGCAAGTTACAATCTTACCACAAATTTGGCATAAATTTAGTGCATTAAAAAATGTTGTTAACTCAACCAAAACTAGAGTGCGAATACAGGCCGGACCAATCCTGTAGGACGGATAGGCTTTAAAGAGCTAGTCTTACATGGTCGAAATTTCAAAAATACCCCAAATTATTATACCCAACCCTTAAGATGTTGGGCTCAGGACCGGCCCGGGGCTTTCAACCAATTTAAAACAATTATTTTTCATATTTCTCATATTTTTTAATTAAAAAAACAAACCAATGAAATTATTAATAAAAGACATAATTATAAATTAAATTAAGTCACAAATACAAAATATCATTATATCTAAATATCCATCAACATTTAAGAACATCGAAAATTCATCAACAAGACAACAACATCCAAAAGTTTGATCAAGGATGCAAATATACAATAGACAAACATTATTGTTAATTTTTTAAAACTTCCTCATCAGTATAATCAGTTGCTCTTATTTCATAGCAAAAATATTAAGTTTTTCTTCTTTATAAGAATTTCACTTTTAAATTTTGCAATCTAGCTATTATTTTACTTTAGTTTAAGAAGCATTATTGTTGAAAATCATAAATTTCTAATTTAAATTATAGAATCATAAGTTACATAAGTATAAAAATACTCTATTATCAAATATATATAATTTAAAAATATCAACACATATAATATAAATCAAATCATTATTAAAGTCCAAATTAATCCATTTTTTAAAATTTAATTAGACAAATTATTGTCTAAAACCAAATAAATTAAACTATTCTGTGAAATTTAATTTTAAAATGATAAAAATAACTAAATATTCAAAATATCATTAACAAATTAATAATATTATAATTACACATAAAAGGGTTGAGGGCCAGCTCGTTTAAACTCTCAGTCCTACAGTGTCAACCCTTTTGAGCCTGTTTCTCATTTGAAGGGAAAAAATTACAAGGCTGACCTTCACAACTTTCGGGCATAAATGGGCCAAGGCCAGACGAGCTCAACCCGTTTTCTCAGCTCTAATCAAAACTATACTATACTACTTTTGGTCCTAAATATAAAAGTTAGTTAGAGATTTACTTTGGTCTTAAATATAATATTTTAATATACTTTGTCTCTCATATTTATTTATTTTTTTCAAAGTAATCTCTACAGTGATTACACATGTTAAAAGATTTTCGATTTAATGCACATTATTAACTAAGATATTTTAGAAAAGACATCTATTTATTATAAATAACCAACTCTAATTAATTTTCTTAATATTTATAAATTAGTTATATAATTGTTATATTAAGTGCAAAAGTTAGTACATCATTTAGCTAGTGTTCACGGGGAAAAACATAAATGTCAACCCGCTTGACTAATCCTCCTCCAGACCTAAATATAAGACTTACTTTGACTACTAAGTAAGTCTTATATTTAGGATTGGAGGAGTATAATTTACTACCTCTGATCCTTGATATAATATCTTGTTTGACTTTTATTTTAGTTTTAAATATAATATCTCAATTAACTTTGTCTGTCATATTTATCTATTTTTTTCTAAGATAATCCTTCTAAGTATGGTAATTCTAGCCAACAAACTTGATTAGTAATGATATTTTAGGAAAGACAACACTTATTTATTATAAATAATTAATTTAACTTATTTTCTTAATCTATTCAAATTAGTTAACTAGCTCTTACATTTAAGACCGGAGATAATATAATATAGTTACACCAAGAAATATAATTATAACAAAAAGTTTTTTCAAGTTGCATGATTGGCATGGACCAAACAATCATTACATCAAGGTGTCCTTTATCACCTTAGCCTTGTATCTATCGATGTTATCGAACTTAGCAATAGCAGCCGACTCCTCAATCATGTCTGGCGACTCGATGATGGCCAATGAAGCCCCTTCTTCGGATAGATGGAATGGAAGAACAAAAACTGATCTTCACGGGCTTTTTCCTAAGCGGTCCCTACAACTGTCACCATTTTGAAGTAACAAAGCCATGCAAATTGTCACCACCTCCAAGTGTAGGATTTCAGTGATACTAATTAGTCCTTACAATTGTTCGAACTTTACGTGTCGGTGGCTTACAATTTTTGAACTTGAATGAAGTATTTTTTTTGCTAAAACATATGTATCCTTTTATTGGAGGTAATCTTATTTGAGACACTATCGAGTACTAAATGTGGACACCTCTCTTAACGGAAAATCAAACCTTGGAAGACTAGCTTTTTCCGTTAAACCCAACTCCTGTTGTTAAGTTGAATGAAGTATTTGAGCTTCTGGATTTATCTCCTCCTGCTAATTGCTTCGCTCTGGCCCATTGAACTTTGTTGTTGCATCATTCACTCTATCACACCTCTCGAATTCTCGTCGCGTTTCATTTCGGATCAATTTCTGTTATATATTCTGGATCTGCCAGAGCCAGAGTTATGAGCTTCGGTGTTCCTGTTTATCATGAAAGCATCGGTAACGGTAAATGGCGGGGTCACGTGACACACGTGCGCATATCTTAGGTTCTCTCTTGTGACCACAACTTCTCTTTGGGTTTGGGGCTCACCTCACCCCACCACTATCCATAGGACCAAAGCCAATCTTTTTCTCTTTCTCTATTTTGTTTGAATGTTAAGCTTAAAGAGAGGCTGAGTTTAGATGGCAATGAGCGCTTCTTCATTGGTAAGAATTAATCCCATTTCACATCATGGCAAATCATTCTGTACAAGATTTGCTTATCAATCCTCTGGGCTTTCACTCCGAGCTTCTGCGAATCCAAACCCAAAAGCCCGTTTCGTTGCGCGGCGGAGGGAGTCGACTACTGTTCAGCAACTCGAACGTCCTCTAGGTAATTTTAAGAGAGATTTAATAGCGCCGCCCCCCCCCCCTAAATTTGGATTTGGATATGTGTTGAATTTCGGAATTTGAAATTGTTTTTGTTGGTTTCAGTTGAATATATGCGATTACCTGCCAGTCAATATTCTGTTCTGGATGCTGAGAGGATTGAGAGAGTAAATGACAACACTTTCAGGTGTTATGTTTATAAATTTAAGTTCTTCTCCTTTGAGATTTGTCCAGTTTTGCTGGTTAGGGTGGAAGAGCAACCCGACGGGTGTTGCATTAAACTCCTGTCCTGCAAGGTATAATAACGTGTGTTTTCAGCTCTTCCTCTTTTCCCCGACTTTTCTGTTCACTTTCTAGTGTTTCTTCCCCCCCCCCCCTCTCTCTCTCTGTGGTGAGTGACCTTCTAGTTTCTAGTGTATTTATTTCTGATTTCTTCTTGTTTGTTTGGTGATCGGTGACAGCTTGAAGGTTCGCCAATGGTTGCTGCTCAGAATGATAAGTTTGATGGTAAGGAGCAATAGCTAAATATTTTATTAAAGAAATTCAACTCAATTTACTTTATAAACTCTGTTACAGTTCTACATAGATACAAAAATGTATTGATCCTGTCATCTGCAAATTATAGCTTTGTTATAGCATAAGTGCACCTGTGGTATTTCTCAATGAAAAATTATTTGCTAGACCAGCGCTTGCACAAAATAAGTAGACCAAGCCAATTATGATAAGACTAATCTACCTCTACTTGGTAGCTTGGATCGCCTTGAGAGTACAGTAATTACAGTTGCTGAACTGTCAGCATATAGTACATACTATTTCTTATCAATAAAGAATTTTGAAAGTCAGTCTGCAGAACATTTGTAAGGTTAGATAAGGGGCTATTCGGTGTGAAAATTAAGCCTTATGGGACTTTGCCCTTCATTCTTCCCGATGCAAACCTGTGACTTGGACTGCAAATGCTTTGCCACAAACAAGAATTTGGGATGTTACACTACATGTGCAGAGTTAGATAAGGAACTACTGTGGATGAATGTTAAGCCAAATGAGTTTGGCCTGCATTCTGCTCTAAGCAAATCAGTGACAAGAATTAAAACATTAATGATGCAAGGCACTCTTGTCTTCGTTGTGAAAGTTACTGCTCCTATAATTTTGTATTGTTGAGTTTCTAAAACTCTTGAATTCCACTGGTATTGTGCAATAACTTTTTAGTGTAGGTCAGGTGACACAAGGTTACAGTGGGTTTAATTGTGTGGAGTCATTAAGGTTCGCTAGCAATTATCATTTTGCTTATGCCACTTTCAGGAACGCTTTAACAATACTTTAATATGGTAACACAGCTTTGATGGTGAACCGGATATCGTGTGGTAGCAATAGCAAGAATTCGTTGGTGCAGCAGCTCTCTTCAGATACTATAATTGAGGTAGTAAATTTGGTTTTATATCAATTTTACATGATTGTGCAACTCTGAACTTTATATAAACTTTATCTGTCGATCAATATGTGTATTCCAGGTGAGTGTTGAAATTCCTTTTGCTTTCCAATTAATACCGAAGGAAGCAATTGAATCAGCTGGGACTCAAGTTCTTGAACAAATATTGAGAGTTATGCTTCCCCGCTTTATGGCACAGGTCTGTGGACGACTGACATAATACTAACAGAGTTTATTTGAAGTACAACTTTGCTTCATTTTAATTTATTGGTCATATCATATGATGATGATCCAATGACAATTAAACCCTGGAAGAAACTCATTGGAACTTTTAGAATGGTCCTTTATGTTTAGCGTCTGAACAAGATGAATTTTATGTAGGTATTGCCAATGGTAGTGATAATTTTTCATTGGCTGTCTGTGTGCTCAAATATCCATCACTTATGTTCTTCGCTTATATACGGCTGTTACATTTAAGGAATAACGAAGATGAATTCTTGTGAGATTATCTATCCAATTGTACTTTGTTATTTATTTCTTAATGCTGTTGAAATTTGGTCGGTTCATTAGTTCAAAAGTTATATGCAGCTTAATGTTTCTGACTTTTCTCTTGTTCAGTGTATTACCTCTTCATTGCCTGAGCCAGCTTAGTGGACTGATATATGATAGCTGATGTTTCTGACCTTTATCTTCTGTTCAATGCATTGCATCCTCCTTGTCTGAGCTGCTTGATGAACTGATATATGACAGACTTAACTTCGATGAAATTTTCAATTGATTGATTTTTTTTCAGAACTTTAATTCTGTATTCTGGAATAGGGAAAAATGGATGAGGCGTTGAGGTATTAGTAATTTGGTTTTGTTTCTAAAAAAGCCTAAACTAGTTATAATAAACAAAATAATTGCCTCTTACACCTTGACCAGTTAATAATTATCTGTTCTCGATATATTGTTTTCTAACTGTTGCATCTAAATGTTATGAAATGTTATTGGGTGTTTAAGTGGTAATTATATAACATATTGTATATAATCCCATGAAACTTCAAATTTATTCTTTTCCATGTAATTCCTGCATTGAAGACCTTATAAACTTGGGGATTGACTTGAGGGAAGGATCATTTGATGAGTGTCATGGTTCAGTAAACACATAATTTAGTTCTGAGTCGAGATGATAGCTGATGTATACTTTGGTATATTTACTGAATCTCGTTTGCATCATCAGCTTGTGAAAGATTACCAAGCCTGGGCTTCAGGAGATACCTCAAGGCAGCCCCTAGGGACAGGTGAGATTTGAAGTCAAGGATCATGGCAGTGATTGCCAAAAATGGTGATATTCCTGTTTTGAGTTTGTGGAAACGCTCCCTCATTTTGTGTACATAGTAAATTCCCTTTGTTGAGTGCAAAAAAAAAAAAAAAAAAAAAGAAATTCCCTTTTGGTTTGTAAATTAAGGATAAAAGGGGTTCTTTTCTTTTCTTCTTCTTCTTTTTTCTTTGTTTCTTTGGGAGGGGATCCAGAAAAGTTACAGGTGGTTATGATACATTACTGATAGAATTATAAAGGAAAATGAATGATGCAAATGTGCTCAGCGGCTCAAAAGACAGAAAAGTACCAGCAGATACTTCATGTTGGCAGTCCATGCATGCCAATTTTATGACTACTAATCCCTCTGGCGGCTTTCTAGAATTAATCCATGGTTCCTAATATAAGTCATCTAGAGGGTGATTAACTAACATTTTTCGATTTTATCCCTGCTGCAAGTTATTAAAAGGAAACTTTAATTCTAATTCGTTGTTTCTGTATGGCTATTCAAATGCCATGTTTTTCTCTCTTTCTTCCTTCAATCCATATTCTCTCACAGGGGCAAAGTTGGAAAATTATTAATTTTATGGCATATCTAACGAGGTAACTATTCTTCCTTAGTTCCAACGAAGTGATTGAAAGTAACTTATAGTGAGGAGCAGGAAGAGTGCATGTTCACATTTTCCAATTTTAAATACTTCATACACTAGAATTTTTAGATCCTGCACGGCAACATGCCCAGCTATTGAGTTTACTATCAGAATATCAGGGTGTTTGTTTCTGGTGGAAGTGTTTTTTAAAAGTACTTTTATACAAGTCGAGATAAGATTTTTCTTATATACTTACTCCGCATATCATAAAATTACTTTTAAAATCATGGTTTGATTCCCATTTAAACACCGCATGGTTTGATTCTGATAGTGAATGTAATACAAGTTGGCCTATTTCAAACTTAAATTGAGTTCTCTGAGTATATATTTATCTATGCACAGGAAAAGAGATTAACATATATTAGTATGTGGCTGTGTGGTATCCACCTTTTTTTTCACACTCATTCTCTCTCTTTTTGCTTTATCATCTTTCGAATGTATCACAATACATTGACCTTCATAAATATAAAATATTCATAACTACTTACATATTTGATCCTTCATCAATTATCTTACATCACATAAATACATAAACTAAGACATGTTAAAACACTTTTTCACATCAAAACAACTTTGAAATTGTCTTCTGTCCTTTTGTTTCTTCATTGCTATCACCTGAAAAGTTGTTTAGTAGAAAATAAAATAATGAGATATGAAATACCAAAAGCGAGCATTATTACATACATAAGCACTCAATGCAAACATGAATATAATGTGGACCATGAATTCGGTGACACGTGCTACATACTTCCTTCAGTCTTTTATATAAGTTTTGTATAATCAAATTAAGTAGATAAAAAGTTGGTTAAAATTTATTAAAAACAATAAATGCGTAAGAAAATTTTTTTTCCAAATATATCCTTATTTATGGTGAGAGGAAACGAGAGAGAATGAGTGGGAAAATAAAATTAGAGATTATATGAATTTACCATGAGCAAAAAATGAAAAAAGTGAATTAAATTTCCAGACAAGTACAAAGTGTTACTTATAAAAATGACCAGTCCCAAAAATTGTAATTTTTATATAGGACTGGAGGAAGTATTAATCTATGCTTGGGATATTGATTTGGTTCTCCTTGTTCACTACTGAATAACTAGCTCTTTCTATGACTGATTGCCTTGAGCTTTAACCACAACTTGTAATCTTCTTTGTTCATCAGTCCCTCTTTTCCTTTAAGCTTCTAAGGAGAACCACACTAAGTTTTCCTCTCCAACAATAATCTGAGCACGAAGCAGCATTAAGTATTAAAACTATTTATCTAGGATATACATACACACATATATAACCAAAAACCAATGTTCATTCACATCCATGTCATATACAGAAACATGTTGTGATGAAATGACATATATAAGAAGTAACCCGTAAAGTTGAACGCAAAACAGTGTTCATTTTTCTTTATGGGTGCAGCAAGACAAAACTGAAAAGTGAAGATCATTATATTAGTAACTTAGGTTTAACTTTATCAACTTTACAGATTCTTAATTTCAAAGGATCTAAATTACAGTAGAAGAGTGAGACAATAACATTAACCAACATGGAGGCAAAAGAATATCTTTGGAAATCAATCAGGTAAGAAAATTTTACCCACATCTGGAACTGGGGCGTTGGGCATGTCACTTTCACCAGGTACTTCAACTCTCAAGAAATTTGTACACCGTTGTAACTTGTCCTCTAATGCAGCATTGGCAAGTTCCTGCATTTTCAAATGGGCTCTTGTTTTGTTGAGTTCATCTTCAAGATATAAACCAAATTCCTTCCAGCATTCAAGCTGAAAGTCTAACTCCAAAAAATGCATGCTTCCAACATCTGTTGATTGTGTGAGAAGGTAAACATCAGAAACTTCTTTTATGAGGATATTCATGCTCAGCTCATCTTCAACTTTGCATATTTCACTAAGATTCTTACAAGTTCTTGCTTCAAGCTCTTGCATAATCTGTTTTAAAGCTCTGATTTCTTGGTCAAAAGCATCAATACCCCCATATAGCTTCTTTTCAATGGTGATAATCTCTTGTTCTTTCTCAAATAGCTTATGCTTCCATTTTGCTTCATTTTCTTCTACAATTTTAGCCATCAAACCTCTTTCCTTAACCATTTGTTCATCTTTTTCTGCTAGACTTTTCTCCAGAAGTGTGATGGTACCTTCCATGTTCTTTAGTTTCTCTTGCAGCTCTATGCTCCAGAATTCCTTTAGTTCAATACCTTCATAGAGACATTTTATTGGAAATTTAGAGCTAGAGATATCAAGATCTGAATCAGAAGAATCCATCGTTATTTTCACTGGTAAAACCGGCTTCTTCAAATGAAAGTCATATTCCTCACTGTCATCAAGTCCCTGGCTATAATCTGTTCCATCTTGAAATTGAAACTTATTCATTGATAGATCAATAATCTCCATCTTTTGCTTTTCTATTGTCTTTTCTAGCTCCTCAAGAACAGAAACAAGATTGATGTTGGACTTCTGTGCTTTCTTGAGCTGGAATTCTAGGTCATTATTTAGTCCTTTATGATACTCTATCCCATCTTTCAACTCCTTTATCATTTTCCCCATCTCTTCAGCCTGAAGCTTTGAGTTTTGACTGTCATTCTGTTTCGCCATTGATGATTCCTCTAGCATAGTTTTTAGCTGTTCGATTTCATCCTTCAACCCATAACATTCTTTCTGCAATGCAGATAACTCCATTTCAACCTCTTTCTCCTTGTCTGACTTGCTACGCAAATCTGTCTGCAATCTTTCCACATCAATCAAAAATCTCCTAGCATTATTCTCCCACATTTTGGCTTCTGCATTAAGTAACTTGATTGTGACCTCTGCGGCATCCAAAAGATCTTTAGATGACCCTAAACTTTTCGCCAGTGTCGCACGCTGGCGTCGTGAATCTCGCTGCCCAAAGTCTTCCATTTTATCTTGACGCTTCATGCCTGAATTGATGGCTGCTGAAGCTGTGTAGCTGCCATTATTAGAGTGATCTGCTTGTTGATTTCCAGATGAAGAAGAACCTGATGCAAACAGATTTGTTTCCTGTAACAAGAAAATGGATTTTAGCCTCCTGAAAAAAATTGAGAGCGGATCCTCTGCAAGTTAAAATTGAGGGTGTTGAATGTAAAGTGAAAGTATGAAAATTAGAATCTTTGTTAAACATTACCAATTTCACATATCCTCAACTTTAGAGGATCTAAATTTGCACACTAGTCATTTTGAACCAAAACTTGTCCCAAGAGGCAAGAGGACAGAAGACAAATAGTACAGAAAGTAAAACTGATTCCAAAGTAACATATATTTTCTTACATGCAATAATCTATAAATTTCTCTCGTGATACCTTTCCTGTCTGGATTTGACTAAATAACAACCACACTTATTTCAGAATAGAAGTAAATTTAAAGAGAAGAGGCAAGTAGCAAAATATACAAAGTTCAGTGGAGCAGAAAGATTTTCATACATTGCTGCTAAGCTCAGCAGGTTGGCATGTGTTCTGCAATTGGTTACAACATGAGGGTTCAACATTGTTGTTGAATGTGGTACTTTCAGATGCATCTGATTTATTGTCTAGATCATCATAGTCAACGTTCATTTCCTCCACAAATGAGTTTTCTTCATCCACATGCTCATCTCTGAAAAATTACTGTAACATGTCATTGTCATTATCATACGCATGCAGAAGGTTGAAATGGTTAAAGGTTTTGACTAAAGGCCAATTTCTGTTTCTCAAGGACTTGAATTGTCAAAAGTATTCATATTAGCTGCAAACCTGGTTGTTGTTGTTGGTGACAAACACTGAACTTGAACCTGAAAAATAGAGAGGACGGTGTTTATTTTTTTCACAATGGTGAAGAAATCAACATAGTTGGTACAAACTGAATCATGAGACTCGAATTAAATTTGCACACTAGTAACTATTTTTAAGCAACTTCTTCACGATAAGAGTGGCATTATTTAGACTACTGACAAATGACACTTGAACACAAATGAAGCAATATGATAATGGAAGTCTTACTTGTAAGATTGTGTCATGGTAGCATTGTTTCAAAGGCAGTGATAGACTGGAGGTTTCTGATTTGATGCAATTTGCCAAATCAATGGTGGCCTCTCCAAGTGCCCCAAACCTCACTGATCCCTATAATACAAATGTCAGTTTTTTTCTTTTTTTGATTATAAAGAAAGAACATGTGTGTTATATTGAAGATCAAGAATATATAAAAGGCATAGGTAGAGAAGCAGAGACCATGGCGACAACAAGCTTAATGAGGGAGCCTTTGAAATGATGAGTGCCTTGAGAAATGCAAATGGAGTGAGAAACAGAGTCATTCCAATGACACTCTCCATTTTGTACTGATGCTTTCCCCATTTTGCTTATGGTTTTCCCACTTTCCACGCTTGTTATGTAAATGAATAGCTTGTTCCATCCTTGTGGAACCTGCACAGAGGCCAAAGCCAGGATTTAGATATAGGGGCACTAATTGAAAAATATATATAGTACAAGATTTACATGTAAATATAGAAAATATCCTTATTCACATACAAGCTGGAAATCTTGGAAAGTTAAATGCGTAAGGGTAACGTTAAAAATTGAAGAATGTACTAGTACTACGGAAACAATATTTAATTAAAAGATTACAACTTAGCTTTCTAGGCCTTGCAACTTGCATTTGAAATGGACATTTTGGTCAATTGGTTGTTTCCATAAATGACGTTATAAAATTTTGGAATCTTAAGGTGGCATCACCCTTCATACTTTTGTCCCAAGGTGTTGGATGATTTTTCTTTCGGAGGAAGAGTCAAAATAATCTTTATAGGCCTAACGCCTAACGAATGATCAAGCAGGTGTAGTATATAGTGCTCACTCCAGATTCTTTATATAAAAAAATGCTTGAATAATTTGGATTAGATTAATGAAGTAATTATGACATGATCTCCCTAAATCATTTAACATTATACTAGCTCCGGTCCTTAATATAAGAACAAATTGACTAATTTGAATACATTAAGTAAGATTGTTAAGTTAAGTATTTGTAATAAATATGTGTTATCTTTCCTAAAATACCCTTGCTAATCATGTGTATTAGCTAAAACTACTATTTGATGGAACATTTAACATGTACAACTATTACAAAGATTATTTTGAGAAAAAAAATAGATAAATATGAGAGGCAGAGTGAATTGGGTTCTTATATTGAGAATCAAATTGAATGTCTAACTAGTTCTTATATTAAAAAATAGAGATAGTATTATATATCAATATATCAATTAGGTAAATTAATTTGAGAAAAAAAAAGAGAAAATACAATAGCAAAGTGAATTGAGATCTTATATTTAAAACTAAGAATAAAAACAGGTCAGGATAGCCTTTAGCCAAACAGGCCTGAGCCAAGACCTGAGCTTGCATACAAGCTTTTTTTCAAGCTCAGGCTTGAGTCTTAAATAGGCTTGAAAGACTTTAAGCCTTTCAAAAGGACTACTTACACTGCAGGCTTTTAAAAAGACCTCATATTTTAAGCTTGAGAGACCATAAATAAGCTTTAAGCATACTAAAACCTACACAAATATAAACTTTTGGTACACTTAAAAGCCTACATATTTTAATGTTTATTAATAAAATAAATTTTAAAAAATTAATTAGGCCAGACATGCAGGTTTTAGGTTTGGCTTTAAATTTAAAAACCTAACATGTTTACCTTAAAAGGCTTCTAAATAGGCCCTAAGCCTGACTTATTTACTAAACAGATCAGGCCACACTAGGCCCTAATTAGGCCAGGTTGTAAGCCACTGGTAAGGGCCTAACCTACTTCCATTCCTATTTAGAATTTTATCTTGTATTAGGGAACGGACAGAGTATAGGGTTAATGCTAAACATTTTATTTTTATTAGACTTTACACTAATAAATAGAGAGAGAGAGAGAGAGAGAGAGAGAGACCTGAATAGCATTGAAGTTGCAGAGCCTGAAATCGAGTGAGTGGTGTGTGGTTTGATGATTGATGCATATTTTGTTCTTCCCTTTTCTGTTATTATTCTCACATTGCTTCTCATTCTCATTCTCATTCATATTCTCCGGCTTCTCTTCTTTACTTCCACTGCAAAATAACACCTCAACTTTTAATTACCTAATTTCAATACCAATGTCTAACATATAATAATAATAACAAAAATTAAGGCTTGAGGTTAAGAGGAGGCTGGCATTTGTACATACCTTGAGAAGGCCATAATTATAATTCCACTTCAAGAAGAAGAAGAAGAAGGAAATGAATTAAGCAAAGATGTAATATATAGAACTTACCAACAACTTAACACACAGTGAGATATATACGCTCACAATATGTATTTACATTCTTGTGCTGCTTCCTAATTAGACCGCATAACCTTAATTTGAAGCTCATTGGCTGATATGGTCACAGTTTTAGTCGGTCCAATTACTTCTTAATCATAATCCTCCCTTTTCATTTCATTCTTCCGACTCACTCAAGTCAATTCAAAACCAAACGTACACTATCATTTTAGTTTTATAAAATAACAGTCATATATATATATATGACTGTGTTATTTTATAACCATTGCTTTACTGTTAAGTTTAGACGTCCCTCAAAGTGTATTGGCCCCAAAAAGCAAAACAAATTTACTGCTTCATTTTCTTTAGAAGAAATTAATTGGAGAGCTTCATTCTGGTATTCTATGATAAGTATTTAATTTATTTTTAGTTTAACAAATTTGATGATGATTATACAATTAAATATTATGAGGGACGGCCGAATGTTAATATTTTATTTTCTGATATTATGGGATATTGGGCCATTTGGTTAAACTTGATTCCTTATGAAAATGTTTCAACCCCATACCTGGCCCAATCCCAATTTATTACTAATTTATTACCAATTTCAATATAGATCTGTTGTTTTTTAACAAGGCTGTGGCACATGTAAGGAAACTTTAATTAATAATAACACACAATGACTAATATACCCTTACTTACACCTTTTTATTTCACCAATTAAATAAAATTCAAGTTCCAAAGGAGTACATAGAAAAAGAGGGAGTATTGGAGAGATAAGAAAGAAAAAGCTAAAGACTATTGGATTTAGTGACACAAAATGTGCTCTCTATGACACTAGATCTGGGGTTCAATCTCTCTCTAGTAGTTATGGTTGACATCAAAAAAAATTTTAACCAAAAAAGGATGAGAAAGAAGAAAAAGTAGGATAATAGGGGAAAAAAAGAAGACCTTCTTAAGTCTTTCTTAAATGTAAGGTTACAAGTTTAATTTGACTTCTGATGAGTATGATAAGTGGATGAGTTTTTTCTTAGTTGAAAAAAAAATAACTGCAGAAACAATATAATACAAAGAAAGTACTAAGTGATAATAATGTATAATACAGATGAAAACAAAATTAGATCCAGATCAAACGGCATAAACGACAATGAGAATATATGTGAGTTGACAAGCTTGATTTATATTTTTATACTATGCTATGTCACAAGTGCTAACTAAGGAGACTAGAACTAGGAACACGTTAGGTACCTAAATAATTATAGTTAAACCTACTCAATTATTATTATTTTAATTTAACTTCCCAAGGGGCGCCGAAAACCATTTAATTATTTATTATGAACATGCATTATCATATTCGTCGTTTGCATATTATAATTTGAAGCTATCAAGAATAAATATAATTAATCACCCATTTTTCTTCGAAATGCTTAAACAAATACCAAATAATGATGTAATTAACTAGGTGTTGTATGGTATCAAGAACGTAAGAGAGCCGATCAACAATCCCAATAATAATAATGAGATAATTTAGAAAATTTGGACCGTTAGTTTCTTAAATCTCTCTTTCAAAAGTTTGCATTATCCATATCATGCACGTACGTACAATATATCTATCCAGTTTTTAAAAATCTGTTTCGATTTCCGAGAAGTCAGACATCCTCCATATTCATTCACTCATAGTACAGTGAATAGTTAGAATTTACAATCTCTCTCCCCCTCAGATTTTACAGACAAAGTTGCCTCTTATGACACAAACATATGTAGGAGGAATCCGACTGGCAAGTTTTGAGATAACCTTTTTCTCTCACTTTCCCAACATTTGATCTCTCTCTCTCTCTCTCTCTCACTTTATCCTAATTAGTTCTTTTCGACTTTTTCCTTTCTTTTTCCTATTTGGTCTGATTACTTGCCTCATAATGTATTCCTTCTTTTCTTTCGGCAGTAAAGAGAGACGAAGAACATGTTAGGATCATTCACTCAGCACAAGGACAACTGGAATACACACAGAGAGAGTGTCTATATACACACTCTTTTTTGTCCATGATATAATATAAGATATTGGTTAAAAGAAAATTGTGATCCAAAATATAAGACGTTATTAAAATGACTGATGAGGTTTTTCTCATTTTCACCCCATTAAATATAGGAGAGAGAGAGATAAAAGATAATAAAAGTGCAATACTCCTTCTAATTCTAAATATAAGACCCATTTTATAGTGTAAATTACACTATAAAATGGGTCTTATATTTACACTACAAAATGGGTTTTATATTTAGGACCGGAAGAGTATTAAAAATAACTTTATTATTTTTGTAGGGTAAGATGGGAAAACCCTACCATTTTATGACTTTTTATATTATGCACAGGAGGGAGCATATGAGAGTGTGACCAGAGCAAATTAATGTGTGATTCATACGATTTTCTTAATTACTTCATTAATTACTCGTATCAGCTTTAGCATCAAGCTTCCTCAAGCCTTAATTATGGCTGCTGGTTGCTTTTTGTACCTTTTCAATATTTCTTTGATGCTCTTTTCAATCCCTAAAGATTTTTTATATCTATCTTGGATCAATTAATAATATGAAGTTAATTATATTATTTTTTAAAAAATGCTAAATTAAACAACGTTAATTAACCTTGTATGTCTTGTATGTTAGATAGTATATTTTATACCGATAAGTTTAGTAGTTCCATTTTACTACCTCCCTCCGATCCTAATTATAAAAGTTAGTTGACTAATTTGAGGAGATTAAGAAAAAAAAGTTAAGTTAGTTATTTGTTATAAATATGTGTTATCTTTCCTAAAATAACCTTCCTAATCAAATGTATTGGCTAGAACTATCATTGTTCGAAGGATTATCTTGGGAAAAAATGCATAAATATTAGAAACAAAGTGGATTGGGATCTTATATTTAGGATTAAAATAAAAGTCAAACAAGGTCCTATATTAATGACCGGAGGTAGTATTATTTATCCTGTCATATATTAACATCAGAATTTATTTAAAAATTAATTATTTCTGGCGTATGGTAAAATTCTATTCATTTTCTTAATCATCATTCGAGGATGTCTGATGCGTATGTCTTGTAGTCATATCAATTTTTTGAACGATGTTGGCAAAGAAAATGAATATCAATTTTTCACTCGGAAAAAATTATCAATTTTTGAAAGAATATACCCTAATAATGATCTCTGTGTGTGTGTGTAAGAAAGGTTTAAATTTTAGACCCTAAATAGTGAATATTAGTCACGCCCACTAATTAATTCCCCCCACTAACCTGAGTTAGAATGATGGAAGTGATTATTATTATTTTGAAAACTTCAAATGCTTTCCATCGTCATTAATTCAATTATGCAAATATTTGCTAAATGAAGGAAAACTCAATCTTTTTTTTCTTCTTTTGTCTTAAAATCTTTGTATTAATTGTTTTATGTGTAATTACTTTAGAACTTATGGAGACTGTTTTATAGCAAAATAACTTAGAGAGACATAATTAGGTTAATTAACGATAAAAAGAAAAATAAATATTAATCAGTCAGTTAAAGAAAAATGACATCATTTGAGAAGTTAATCAATTATTTTTGGATCATAATACTACTTCCAGTCCTAAATATAAGAACTAGTTGACCAATTTGATTAGATTAAGGAAATAAGTTAAGTTAGTTATTTATAATAAATAAGTGTTGTCCTTTCTAAAATATCCTTGCTAATCAAGTTTATTGATTAGAATTACCATTATTAGAAGGACTATCTTAAAAAATTAAATAAATATGAGAGACAAAGTGAATTGAGGTTTTATATTTAGGACCAAAATAAAAATCAAACAAGATCTTACATTAAGAACTGGAATTAGTATATAATAATGCTATCAATTTTCGAAAGAATATATCGAGTGATCTATTTAATAATTATGTACTCCTCCGGTCCTTAATATAAGACCCATTTAACTAATTTGATTAGATTAAGGAAACTAGGTAAGTTAGTTAATTATAAGAAATGTGACACGTTTTTCCTAAAATACCATAATCATCTTTCTTAATACCCCATCTTCCTCTTCTACTTGATTATGGTTGAGGGAGTATCTATAAAGGTAATTTAGAGAAAATTAAAAAATATGATAAATGGGTTTTATATTTAGAACGAAAACCAACTCAATAATTGAGTCCTATATTAAGGACTGGAGGAGTATAACTGTACTTTCCATTTTTTTCTGACATAAGAAGCTTTTAATTATGCTATATATCAATATATAAGCTGATTTAAAAAAAAAGAAAAAGAAACTCTAGACACGCGCGCGCGCACACACTAACTACCTAACCGACCCCCTCCCACTGAGTTAGCTGGAATGGTGGGACGTAATTATTATAATTTTGAAAAATATAAATACTTTTAGTCATTCTAATATATATATTCAACGAAGCATTTGAATTGTTTTAATTTTAATCAGAACAAGATTTTCCTCCTGGGTGAATGTTATTTTTGTCGGAGATATTGTTCTATTTTCATGTTCTATTTTAAATATGCATGACTATAACTTCAATACTTGTGGGAGCAATATTATTTTAATTAACGACCAATAAAAAGGACTACTGGGAGAAGTATAAACAAAGAGGGGACCTTTAATTTGTTGGTTAAAACAGGATACACTACTAATTAAATAGTACTCCCTCCGTTCCTTATTATAAGAGACATTTGATGCTCATGGCATGTTCCTATATATAAGAGACACTTAAAAGTTGTCTCTAATTTTTTGTGTTGATTTCCTATTTTACCCATATTTATTTTATCTCCAATTCACATTCTCTCTCCCTCCTACTTCTCTTTCTTTTAATAATTTAATCATTCTCTCTCATGCTCTCTCTCCTTATTAATGAGGGCATTTTTGGGGAAAAAATTATACTTTTTACACATTGATTATTCTTAACTAATTTTAACTGCTTTTTTGATCAACGTAATTTAGTTATTTGTCTCTTATAATAAGGAACGGAGGGAGTAATTCTTTTGAGCAAAGAACATATAGAATTGATTAGAACGACATTTAGCCTTACTAATATTAGCTTCAATTATAAACAAATAAGATACAATCAAAGTACGTTTTATTTATTAAAATATCTTTTTAATTAACATCTATATCCATAAATAACTATCTATATAAAATTCAGAATAAAAGCACATCCACCACTTTAATCTTTTGTATGGTATATTTAATACTTTGATTTTATTTTTTTTATACGTCAAGTATCATAATCTTATTTATAATGTGTCTAGTACTCTAGAAATTAAGACGCTGAATGTAATTAAAAAAATATCAGAAACAAATAAAATTGAGTTATATAGGGAAAAAGGATAATGTGACATAGAGTGTGTGAGAGAGAGGAGAGGGAGGGCAGAGGTGGTGGGGAGGGGTTATGAATAGTAATAACTAGTGAGCATGTGATTGTGAGTGATTGATTTACTTTTGATTTTCTTGAAAACGACGCATCCCAATGCCTTTAATTTATAGCCTTTTTAAAGCCACACATCTCCTTACCCTCTTCCCTTCTTTGCTTGTAAAGCTCCCAAAAAAAAAAAAAGTCACCGATCCTCTTTGAAACTTGTGCCCTCCCTCTTGCTCTTCATTATTCTCTTCATCAGTTCACTGCATCTTATCTACTTCTCTTTCCCTCAATAATTTTATTATCTACTAGTTAAGTACACTCTCTTCCTACACACACACACATATATATGTGACTCTAAGAATAGAATGTAGTTACTGAAAATTTTTACAACAAGTAAATGACAAGTTTCAGGATAAAATAATAAGATCTATGTTTCTAGCTTATCAATTCAATTTTTGTGGTGATTATATCATTTTCTTGGAAACTCACTAATTTTTTCTAATCTTTTATAATATTCCTTCTGGTTCAAAATATAAACTAAACTTTCTTAAAGGGGTTTTTTTTATAAGATAACACTCACTTTTGTTCAACCACTTAATTATGTTTTTCTAATTTTGCCCTCATATATTTTCTTTCCTCTTTAGTTTATTTATTACATCTTTTACTTATTCTCTTCATTAATAAGGGTATAATAGGAAAAATAAATATATGCCTTAAACATTTATTGTTTTAAATTGATTTTAATTAGTTTTTTGATAAACTTAATGGATAAAGTTTAGCTTATATTTTGTATCGGAGGGACTAATGCATTATAAAAAATATAAGAAAAAGTATACATATCCCTCTTATTTCTATTAATTGATTAATTAATTCCTTCTTGTATTATTCCATTATTATACGCATATACATAAGGGCAACAAATATTAATATATATTACGTATAATTCTTAATATAAGGGTTAGTTTGACATTTTAATCGAGTTAGTGAAGCTTGGCTCCCAGAGAGTGGTAGATAGAACAAGGAAAGGTTAGTCTGCTAGGAACATTAGGAGGTGCTTCCCCCAGTTCAGGTTACTATGGATGACCTGTAAAAGGACATATCAATATAAGTTTCTAAATATAAGATCTAATCAACTTTGTCTCTTATATTTATTTATTTTTCTTAAGGTAATTCTCATAGTAGTTGCATATATTAAATATATTTCATTAAATGGTAGTTCTAGCTAATATACATGATTATTAAGGATATTTTAGGAAAAACAATACCTATTTATTACAAATAATTAACTTGACTAATTTTTTTAATCTATTTAAATTAGTCAACTAGCTATTATATTAACAATCGGAGGTAGTATAGAACTATTGTTGTTTATATTTATATCCCACTTTGTTTCCATTATTGAATTGTTGAAGAGAATCATAAAAGTGAGTCTTATAGTAGAAGACTTGTGTTCTCTACAACCCTTTTCTTTGCTGCTTTACTTGCATCTTCATGGGATCATCACACCCCTCTCTAGCTAATTCTCAATTATGATTAATATGTATAATAGAGAGAGAGAGAGAGAGAGGCTCATATATATATATATATATATATATATAGAGGGATCATTGGGGTTGGCAGCTTTGGGAACATTGTAAAGAGTGAAGATAAAGAAACGTAGAGTTGAAGCCAGTTAGTATCTATGATCCCATGCCCAAACTGTTCATAATCATAAATATTCCATTAAAGCCTGCTTAGATTTGCACTCTCTATTCTAATTATTATTAATTATTTCCCTTCTCCTCTCACCCACGCTAATCATGCTTCCCCCTTTTTTTTTATTTTCTTCTTTTCTTTTATTTCATGCTGACTTTAATTTATTTAATTACTATCACTTAATTATATAATTACCTTTCTTCAGCTCCACCCTCTCTACTAATTACAACCATATATCCTCTTCTGATTAACATAACCCACAGCTCAATCACATACAGTTGAGTAATTTATTACATATGGTATAGCACCCGTTATTATTACTCACTTAAGTAATTCATGTTGATGAAGTAAAGCTTAATTATGACCAGGAATTTAAAACCCTAATTAAAATAATTTAAAAGGTGGACTTATCATTACCGTGTTCAGCTCATCATCAAACACTTTTTTTTTTTGGGTGCAGATCGATCTCTTCACAATATCAAGAAAAACATATATTGTAACCATCTATTTCTAAATCCATATATACATATATATATATCTAACAAATTAATAGCCTTTTTAATTGAAAGTCAAGAGCTTAAGAGGATAGAATTGATCTTCTTTGGCTGTTATATAGATATATATAAACATGGACATGTAGATGGAAATGAATGCAATTATTAATGGTGGAAAGATAAAAATGGTCCCTCTGCCTCAACTTCTTGTCAAACCTCAATAGCTGCTTATCTTTATTCAATCATATTCCTTTTCTTTGTCTCAAATCCTGTCCTTCACGCTTCATGTCTCTCTAAACAAATTTTACTTTTACATATCACAAAAGTTTGGTACCAAAAGTAATTATATAATTCATTCAAATAATAATAATAATAATGCATCAATAAAGAAATAAATGGAAAATATATATGAGAGATGATCATCTCAAGATCTATTTATATATAGTCTCATCTCAATCAAACAAATAGCTAGCTGGCTGGGTCATCACATGCCTACATATTATTCCAATTCCAAGTACACATAAAAAAGATTCAAAATTGGCGTTCCAGAAAAATAAAAATTGGTGTATATAGCTAGCAAGCAGGGTAGGAGGGAGTCATGTGGGTGGGTATATTTGATTAAATTTTATTAAATTTTTTGTGGTAAAAAGACAAAAGAGCTGGCGATAGAATTTGATAATAACAAGGCACATCACATTTGCATAGAATTCTCATCCATATGGGATCTCTATGTTGATTTCTTCAAAATTTATTGATTAATAATTATATATTCTGCCATATCCTTTTTGTTATATTTCTTACACAGAAATTCAAGCTTCCTGCATCAATCCCAAAGCCGTGTCTATTACTCAACCTTCCCACACATTCATTCATAATTGTCAACCCCTTTGACACATCATTCTTTTTTCTTTTTTTTTGGGTCCAGCCTTTGACACATCAATCTTTAATTATTAATTATTTTTTTATTTTTTTTATTTTCTATATTCATATTTTTCCTGGCCAACAATATCATTATTGTATATGAAGAATAATCAACCGCATGAGCTCCATTATTCTTCACTGCGATAATGGTGTTTAATTTGAATACGTAATGCAAGCCACCAAACGCATCTACCCCAAACTTATCAACAAAAATTAACCTTTTCCGCTTTCCCAAGAAGCAAAATTTCTTACACTTTACTCATGATAATTATTTTGAATAATTAATTTGCGAGAGATCTCTTCTACATATATATATAATATTTTACTCAAGGTAAGTAATCAACTGTAATAGGTTAACAAAAAAATATACATGTAAATATGTGAATAATTTGTATGAAAATTAAAATTGATATTTGTGTGCTCTTAATTTGTTCGTCATTTAATTAACAATCAACACATATTTTATCAGATCAATTTTTGTGTTCATAGTCTGGGAGGGCATTATATACAGCATTATTTATATTGAAAAAAAAAACCAGGAAGGATACACACACAAAGGAATTTAATTATTCTATATGCAAACAGAAAAAATAAAATTCAGAAAACTCAAAATTCTTTTTCCCTCTCGTAGTCAAAACACAGGCCATCATTCGTCTGATGAACACGTATATGAGATATGACGCATCCCACTATAATAACAATTACACAATGAAATCCGGAAAGAAATTAAACTGCGGTTTAATTAGCACTGAGAATCGGTAAATTGAAGGAGAAGGGAAGATCATGTGGAGATCATGAAATTGCGGGGTTGAATCAACACTTCGTTGATCGATATATGTGATTAATGAACATAATGGATTCAGGATCTAATATATTTTCACATAGTAATATATATTATGCGAATTGGATATATAAACATTAAGGTGTGAGGCTAAAAAATTAAAGAAATAAAGAAGAAAGGAAATGAATCGCACAGGTGAACTTGAGAGGAGAGAGAAGAAGAAGAAGAGGATGATGATGAAGATGATGAAATGTCGTATTCACTGGCTTGTTCGTTAAACTCTTTTAACAGCCGGGTGAATAAGGCTCTTTTCGATCCAGGACGATCGAGAAGCAGGTTCGTCGTGCTTATCATCATGTACACCGGCAGCTCCTCTTTGGAAAATTCGATCGGAAGAATCCATCGATCTCGTCCTTATTCACCTTCTCGAACAACTGAAACTCCTCCAGAAGCTTCCTCTTGCAGGAAACAGCGCGTTTCGCCTTCTTCGGCGCCGGCGGACAAGTCAGCGCCTCGGGAATTCTGTTCTCCTTCGACGTCGGAGTCCGGCAGCTCTCATCCTCCTCCCTGCCGCTGTGCGCGGCCGCGGCCTCCGCCGATGAGTCCACACGATCGGTGTGATCGAGATCGGGAAGCTCAATTTTGACGGCGGAGGCGGTGGAGGAGACTCGCGGCTCAGGGAGATCGTGGAGGAGCTGGAGATCGGTGGACATGGCGGTTGGGGAAATTGGAGGAGAGAAAACGTGTTTGGGATGGTGAGAAAATGAAAATAAAAAATAAAAACGGTGGGGAGGGGGGTGAGGTAGGTGTTGTGTATGCGTATATATAGGTGGGTGAAGAAGGTAGACTTTAGTCCAGCCGAAGCTTTGAAAGCGTGCGTTTGAAGGTAATGAACTAAAGGCTGCGAGTAAGAAAGATAGCCGGAGGTGAACTGAACTCTATGGGGCAATATTTTTATCCAGTAATTTAAACAGATTTTTTTAAAATATATCTGTTTAGATAATTAATTGTATTAATTCTCCAAACAGGTACTTGAGCATTTTTTTTTTCTAATTTAAATTCTACTTTTTAATTATCATCTATTAAGCTATATAAGAAGCTAAGGTGAAAATAAATTATAAAATTTTTATCCAATAATTTTGTGTGAGGGTTACTTACCTGCTAATACTTTTGTGTGTATGAAAATATATGAGATTATATTGGATAATCAATTCTCGAAATAAATAAGTATTTATGGGTAATTTTTCTAATTTAAATCTGCTTTTTTTTATTACCATCCATTAAGTTATAAGAAGCTAAGGATAAAATAAATTATACTACCTCCGGTCCTAATTATAAGACCCAGTTGACTTATTTGAGGAGATTAAGGAAGTAAGTTAAGTTAGTTATTTGTAATAAATAAGTGTTGTCATTCCTAAAATATCCTTGTTAATTAAGTATATTGGTTAGAACTATCATTATTAGAAGGATTATCTTGGAAAAAGATGCATAAATATGAGAGACAAAATGGATTGGGGTCTTATAATTAGGACCAAATAAAAAGTCAAATGGGGTCTTATAATAAGGACCGGAGGTAGTATTTTTTTTTTACTGAGAATCACGGTATTTATAAATTTTGAACAATGCATGGAAATAATATTTTTTATTTTTAAATCGTTTAAATTTAATTTAGATAACAGAAATCAATTTTTATTTTGATATTTATATTTTATTTTTTTGTGATGATAATTTAATTTTTAAAAATTTGATATTTTAAAATAGAAATTAATAAAATAAGAAACTTCTCTGATTATACATGGACACTCATCCATTTTGGGGAGAGGCTTTTGGCAATATGAGCATGGGAGGAATTACCATTAATCACAATAAATTGTAATTATTTAAATATTCTATGAAATCAGGAATATATGTTAAATGTAAAAATATGGACAGCTTACATTAGTGTGGGGATTAGTGGTTGATGCTTAATTACCAATTTGCAACACCAATCTTACTAATTATAGTTGGCCCTTATGAGAAATCTGGGCCCAAAAACACCACACAAAGAAAAAGACAAAGTTGTCCTTGTGAGCAAAGTGAACAGCTTTGGGATTCTTTTTGTTGATAGAATCTTCCACGTGAGAAAATGGTGGTCATGCTTGGACATAAATACCCTTTATGTATGACGTGGGAGGAGACAATTGGTTGAACTGGTAGGGTCTACCACACTGGATAATTGAGGATGGCTTTGTCACCGCCTCTTGCTTTTGTGGAGAGACAAGTGGAACGTAATTGTCACGTTAGAGGTTGATGATGGCTATCAGTGAACGCCCGAATATATATCCACGCGCAGCTTCAGGCGAGTGCCACCAACTCTCCGCTGTTACAGGCTATTAAAATTTAATATTACTTTTTTTTTCGCGCTAAAGGATAGCAAAATTACTCATAAGTCATAGTCATCATAAGTTAAAAATTTAAATTTTAAAATTATTTTGAAATTTTAAAAGATAACAATTTGCTAATGTAAAGACAAATTTTTTAATGTTAAAATTGACAGCACCTCATGTTAATACAAACAAGTACCAAATTTAAAAATTAATTATTCTATAAACTTATTTAATGTCAAAAATTTTATATTTATAAGTAGATTTTTTTTTGTGGCCTGATATTTATAGGTAGATAGAATCTGTGGATCGTTTTTCTTTTTTATTTAGCAACTACGTGTAATTATTTCTGAAATTTATCAGCTCTTATTACTATTCATTAATTTTTTCTGTATTAAAAATATTTTTAAAATTTTAAATTACTTATACCAAATATTTTCCTAATTTATGATTATGAGGCAGAGTACTATTTTTCCTAATGCTATCATTGATCGGATTGGCCCGCCATAACTCACAGATCAATGATTTTTTATTTGTATAACTTTGTTGTATAATAATCTTAGGAAATCTGGGAGGGTTTTCTTTATAATTTTATTTTTATTGTTTTTCTTTAAATTAAAATATATCTAAATTAATAAAATTATTCATAAACCTGTTGATCAATATACGTGAAAGAAATAAAATAATCCTTACATATACAACTCTAAAAGATGATTATTTTTATTAATAATTTTACAGTGTTATTTCAAAATTTATCATTAAATAATGTATTAACAAATAAACGGGTAGAATAATAAACTCGATACCTCTCTTAATTGTAAGATCAAAAGTCTGAAATCTTATGAATATGACTTAGTAATAGTAAATATTAATTAAATAATTGTATAAAAAATAATACTTCTTCCGATCCTAATTACAAGATTTTGTTTGTAAACTACAAATGAGGTCTTATAATTATGACCAGAGGTAATATAAGAGCTTCTTTAACCTTTATTTTGGTCATAAATATAAGATCTCAATCTACTTTGTCTCTCATAATTATCTATTTTTTCTCAAGATAGTCCGTGTAATAATGGTAATTCTAGCCAATAATTAAATTTGATTAGTAATGATATTTTAGGAAAGACTACACCTATTTATTATAAATAACTAACTTAACAAGTTTTTTTAATTTATTCAATTAGTCAACTACCTCTTATATTAAATATCGGGGATAGTATATTGATAATTAATCTTTGCTGATTATAGACGGCCGAATTTGTGTGAGGAAAAGGATATCATGGAAAGAGGACCTTTCTATGGTTTGACATCTCTCAAAAGTCAAATCATTTGTGGTAGATTAATTAAATTATTTTCCATCCTAATATCGTATGTTACACTTAATTAAATATCTAGTACCTATACATGCAAGCTTTTCGTTATCAAATATGGTCTATAGGAAACGTACTCTCTGATTCTAAGGACCTTTTTAAAAGTGAATATCATAAATTAAAAAAGATAATTAACAACCTTAATTTTTTTTTTAAAAAATGCTCCTTAAACAAATATGCCCATATTCAATTTTATTGGAAAAAGTGAGATAATAGCATACTCTATATTCAGCTACACATGCATAAAATTGGATAGGAATATATTTATAATTAATTAATAAATATTGCACCATACTTTATTAAGTGTTCGACATTTAAAACAAAGGGTAGGAAATAGTCTCACATTTAGGCTCGGATGAATATATACTTAAGTCTTACTTGCCATATGAGATTGACAAATAGCCAGAAGATGCATCATCAAGTGATTTTTTTAATAATAAATTTTGCTCCAGCCCTACAGATGTTGAAAGGTACAAGTACAAATAAATCATTGTAAATATGGTAATTTTATAATAAATTAACCAATTAATTTGATCAGGTAAAAAATGAAAACACAATACTGTTTTTTTTCATTGGTATGATGTCTTCGTAAAATTCAGTGAGATTAATGTACATTTTTTCCTATTGATGTAACATTTATATATATAAACAAATCATATTTCATGTGAGATCGCTTTCATCCAATTAATAATTCAAGCGGGAAAGGGACGTGAAGAGGACTTATCATAAAGTATTTTTAAAATTATACTCTTTATATATTACAATAAAGAGCTCATTTCTTTTGAGAACCTTTAATGAATTATAAAAGAAACAGGGTGTGATTTTCTTATGATTATAAATGTATGGGTTGCCGCTCCTAAGATTATATGTATGCTCAAAGCTTACTTTTGTTTGGTTAATTATTAGTCACTTTAACGAGCTCATAGTAAGACCTAATTAATTAATTTGAGTAGATTAAGAATGTTAGTTAAATTAGTTAATATTACATATTTTTGCTAAAATACCATAAATATATTTTTTAATTACCTCCCACTCTCTTCTCCTTAATTATTGTTGAAAAAATATCAATAAGATTAATTTAAGAAAAAATTAATAAACTTGTGAAGTAGGCCTTATATATAAGACTAATAGCAACTCCCCAATTATATCCTATATTAAGGACCAAGTGAGTATTTCAATTTAAATTTTATTGAATATTTTATCATTATAAAATTTTTAAGAGCCAACAAAAGTTAATTTAGTTGGTAAGGAATTGACTTATAACTTACAAGATTGTAAATTCAAATTCTACCATTAATATGAAGGTTTTATTTGTGGATAATTTGCAAGTACTTTTGTAAGTATTGTTTGAGTCCCGAGATACGTGTTGGCCAAGGTGAGCTTTTAAAACCCAATTTACCTAAAAAAAATTCAAATCAAGAGATCAACCATTCTTTTTCTTTTTCTTTTTCAGTCTAATTATATCTCTAACAATTCTCTGAAGAAATTCCAAATATATACTGTCTTTAAAATTAAATCATCATTGATGTCTATATTATCATATAGCTGACATCCACATATAAAAAGGGCTCAATTAACACCTGTGCGTGATTTGGCACTTTTGTATCTTTCAATAATTCAATTATTGTAGACTACTGTTAATTTAACTAATTGTGAGATTAGATGCGATAAGTACTGATTTTTACTATCAAATTTTTCAAAAGATAAGATAATATAAATTTATGATAAAATTTTTCATATATTAAAAATCATATGTCATATGCTATAATTTTTAAAAGGGGAGAGAATTCACTTAGATAGAGTACTTTTGATTCCTTTTATTTACGATTTGAATACCATATCTTAACTCAAAAACTTAAAATAATGTATTTTTTTATTTCTTTTATTTGTATATCTTTTTGTTTGATCCAAACTCTGTTTGATATATGATTTTTTTTTAATCTTTTTCCACATAAAGTCAAGTCTATTCGTACAAGCCATCTTAAGGTAAATATTATTAAAAATTGAAATAATTAATATCAAATTTTAAGGGGATAATTTTCCTTTAAGAGATATTAGTCCAA